GCATTGTGCATCATTCGTTTTGTATATTCTGTATATTCTGTTACCATTCTCATTATTACTATTATTATTATTCTCTCTTATTAAACTGTCTTTATCTCAGCCCATGGCTCTAACCTTTTTTTTCTCCTCCCGATTCTCTCCCCCATCCCACTGAGGGAGGGGGGAGTGAGCGAGCGGCTGCGGGGTGCTGAGTTGCCAGCCCGGTTAAAACACGACAGAATTCCTGGAAAGAGTCCAGAGGAGGGGTACAAAGATGGTGAGGGGACTGGATCATCTCCCCTACGAGGAAAGGCTGAGGGAGCTGGGCTTGTTTAGCCTGGAGAAGAGAAGACTGAGAGGGGATCTCATAAATACTTACAAATATCTTAAGGGTGGGGGTCATGAGGACAGAGCCAGACTCTTCTTAGTGGTGCCTGGTGACAGGACAAGGGGCAATGGGCACAAACTGAAGCAGAAGAGGTTCCAGCTGAACGTGAGGAAGAACTTTTCTTTAAGGGTGACCAAGCCCTGGCACAAGCTGCCCAGGGGGGCTGTGGAGTGTCCTTCTCTGGAGATCTTCAACCCCTGCCTGGACGTTGTCCTGTGCCCCCTGCTCTGGGTGACTCTACTTGAGCAGGGGGGTGGGACTGGGTGATCTCCGGAGGTGCCTTCCAACCCCTGCCATTCTGGGATTCTGTGACATGCTGTGCGTGCCTGGAGTCCTGTGTGAAGTTACTTTGCTCAGGGTTCTTCATCTAACGGGATATGGGAATATCTGTGCTAATCTCTTCCTACAGCGTGGGCTATAATAAACTGAGTTGTGAATGACATCTTAAGAGAGTCGTGTCTCTCCTACTGAGATAACAAGAAACCAGCACCTCCTGGTATAAAACTGCTGCTTCTCGGGTCGTTCCAGTTCGATGGTTCACGTACCTGATGCAGTTTATAACTAGATCGTTTATTATGGGTTTTACCCTATGGGAGGGGGAGGCCGTTTCCTGTACTGGGGGGCCTGAACACACTGCTGAGCTTTCCCAAGGGGCCGTTTAGGAAGCAATACAGTGGGCAGGACTTATCAGAGAGGCTGTCCTGAACGCAGGCATGTCTCGTGAATCTGGAAGCACTGTTACCGGGGATGACCGGGAGCGCCGGGCTGCAGCAGGCCACGAACGGGAGTGGGAAGCCGGCGAGGCTGCAGTTTGCGGCCCGCGGCGCGGG